CAGTGCAGTGACTCAACCCTTTTCCCAAGTCCTTGGCATGAGCAGCAGCAGGAGCTGATGCCAGGCCCTGGGTTTTCTCACAGGTGTAGAACATGCCAGGGCTGCTGCTTCATGAATGGGTTGCTTGGAAGTTCAAGGTGCATTTTGCCTTTGGCTTCCACTTTCCCAGAGTGATGGCTCAGTTTCTGTGTGATTCCTATTTGGCCTCAGCAGCAAAAGCTGGAGGGAAGTGCAGTCTCCAGAGCCTGCTCTTCTTGCTGCTCTCATCTTCCCATTGGGAACTGGATAAATGAGACTCCTGAGCCGGTCCTGTCTGTGCCCTTTCCTGCTCACATAGTGCATGACCATGACATGAGTAAGCAAGTATCCAGTTAAGGAATGTTTTGGGCAGGAAGTGTTCAGTGAGGGGAAGGTTGGGGTGGCCTGCTGAAGTAAATTTGTCTTTAGAATTACAAGTGGTTTGGCTTATTTATGACTTTCCTCCTACCTCCCCCACAGGGTATTTTCATTTACTGCGTGTCTTCCGTGACTGTTGTGTAGGAAAACTGAACTGAGACTCTGGAGATTCAGATTCTCTTCCCACTTTAGTAACAGTTTTCATACAGATCATCTTTTCCAGTTCCATTTCTGCTCTGTAGGATGTATTATTTCTTTACAGTGTGCTAGGAGGATAAAAAAAATGAATCTTTAAGGCTGTCCTGATTATATTTTACCATGTAGCAGTATAAACTAGTTAAAAGCTCTTTTTCAGGTTATGTAACTTCCCCAGGTGTTGAACACTGACAAACACAGGCTCACAGAAGTCTGGGAGTTCACACACATCCCCTCTGAGCTCAAATTCCCCCCCAGCTTGCTACACAAACTAGATGTGAACATCTTACTAAGATGGACCCTGTTAGATTTGGTACTGAAAGTGGATTTTTCTCACTCTTCCCCCTTCCAGGAAAAGAATGCTCAGCTACTGGGGACAGCACAGCAGTTGTTCACCCACTGCCAGGCACAGAAAGAGGAAATCAAACGTCTTTTTCAGCAGAAACTTGATGAGGTAACCCTGCTCTGCTGGAAGGGGGTACTTCTTAGTCATCTGCATGCAAAGAGTTGGGATAAAAATAAGTTAAGACCAGAGAAATGTCAGATCTTCAGCTTCTGTTTTGCAGAAGATTGTCCTAAATGATGTGGAATTTGTATCATTCTTGGGCAATGTTGTATTTTTGTTGTTGAATTGGTTGTGTGCCACTCTGTGTCCAAGGAGAGGGGGTGGCAGGCCACGGACACTGGTGGGCAGGGAAGGATTCATCCCCTCCTGGTTGAACACACCCTGTGTTGCCAGTGGAAGTTCAGGAGCACAGAAGGAAATATGGTGGCTCTCTACAAAAATAGTGATCTTTTCATAGAATCTTATCATCCCAGAATGGGTTGGGTTGGAAGGGATCTTAAAGCTCATCCAGTCCCAACCCCATTCATGGGCAGGGACACCTCCCACCAGCCCAGGCTGCTCCAAGCCCCATCCAACCTGCCCTTCAACACTGCCAGGGATGGGGCAGCCACAGCTTCCCTGGGCAACCTGGGCCAGGCTCTCACCACCCTCACGCTAATGAATTTCTTCTTCTGGCAAGAAAGTAAATATCAGTTTTCAAGTTGAATTCTTGAAACAGCAGCTTCAAGTGTGAGGTACTTTTGTCCTCCCTGTTTATCCCCCAGCAATGACAAAGTGCCTTGGAGAATGCTGGCGATCATGTGAGCCACAGAAGTTCAGCAGATCTCAGTGACACCTACAGATGTGACAGTCATCTGGAATTAGGCTGTCAACACCTTTTTTGAATGCTCTCTTTTCTCCTCTTCATCTTGTAGTTGGGAGTTAAAGCTCTAACGTACAATGACCTGATTCAGGCTCAGAAGGAAATCTCTGTTCACAATCAGCAACTGAAAGAACAGACAAAGCAGCTGGAGAAGGACAACAGTGAGCTCAGGAACCAGAGCCTGCAGCTGGTGTGTACAACTGGGGACTGAGGAGCAGGGTGGTGGAGGACAGGGCAGGAGCTGAAGGCTGCCCCTGCCTTCAAGGTGTCTTGGATGATGGGGGGAAATGCTGAGGTGACAGTTTGCTCTGGCCTCAGCTGTGGCCCAGGAGCAGCTTTGCACCTGTATGTGCACTTGGTGCTGGCCAGGAGTCTGCAGAGTGCTTGCTTTGTGGCAGCCCTGACTCTTGTGTTCTTCATCTTGGTAACTCAAACTGTTCAGGTAGAGGAGGAGGAGGAAATTTGGATGTGGAAGTGGTTAGGGAGGCTGGGTGATAACACTGGTTTTAGAAGGAACCAGGCCACCTCCTGCCATGTTACCTGGTAACCACAGGACCAAGTTGGTGGTGTTTGGCTTAAGCTGAGAGGAGTTTTCTGTGGGCCAAGAAGCTTCTTGCACATATCCAGCTAAAAGGTGCATGGCTTTCAGCTTGCACCTCGGGTGGTGTGAGGTGGTGGAAGGTTCTTTTGATCTCTTTAACCTCTGTCTTTGCAGCTTAAGGCACGGTGTGAAGAACTGAAGCTGGATTGGTCAACGTTGTCACTGGAGAACCTGCTGAAAGAGAAGCAGGCATTGAAGAATCAGATTTCTGAGAAACAAAAGCACTGTTTGGAATTGCAGGTAAAGAGAAAGAAACAAATCCAGAGTCACCAGCCTGGGGTTGCTCTTGGGTGATGGACCAGTTAAAGGTATTTGGTAAAATAATGGTGTTAGAGAATAAGTTAGATGGCTGGTTTTTCTCCTCCACCTTTCCCCCTCTCCTCATCCCTGGAGACTAATCTTTTTATTAAAGGGTTTTAGTAAACTTGAAAGAATAAGGATGTGGGTACAATGGCAAGATTTCTTGGTAATGCTGTGGAAGAAGGAATCCTGGTTTATCATGACACACCGTTCTGTCCTGGTGGAAAGAAGGGTCCTGCCTGTTTGCCTATGTGGCTTCATGGGAATGTCTTCTGTGTGCTCTGATGCCTTGATTCAGGAATCAGATCCCACAGAATGTCACTTGCCATAGTGAAAAGAAATTAAACTCTTGTGACTGAAGAACTTCTGTTTCCCTGAGAGATCAGCACTAGAGCCAGTCCAGCTTTCTGCTGGATCCCTTGACACAAGGTGACTGTTCCCTTCAATAACTGGCAGTGTTGAGTTACTCTCTGCTCTCTAGATAAGTTGGAGATATTTTATTTGCTTTAAAGATCTGAAAGGTGCTTCTCAAGAGTCTCTGAGCCATTCCCATCTGCCTTTTGGTCTCAGGCTCAGAGCAGCACATTGAAATTTGTTTCCCAAAAGGTAGGCCAATTGTTCCGCACTGTTCCCAGAAATGGGACCACTTTTCCTGAGAAGGATATCAACACCAAACTCCATAACGTGATAGAATTGTTCAATGTGGTCTTTAATCATTGCCTTTCTCCTTCTTTTAAAGATCAGTATTGTGGAACTTGAGAAGAGTCAAAGACAGCAGGAGCTCCTGCAGCTGAAGTCCTACACGCCCTCTGAGGAGCCACTGTCCGTTCAGCTACGCAATAAAAACCACCTGAGCCGGGATCCTGAGCCTGATCACAGCAGGTTCCAGCTGGAGCTGGAATGCTCCAAGTTTCCTCTGCCCCACATGAATGGCATGAGCCCTGAACTGTCCATGAATGGCCATGCTACTCCCTATGAAATTCATAACACTTTCAGCAGGCCCTCTTCCAAGCAGAACACCCCTCAGTACACGACCTCTCACCTGGACCAAGAAATAGTTCCATGTACCCCAAACCACAGCAGCAGACAGAAGGGTGACAAGATGACAAGCTTGTCCTTACCTGATTACACCAGGTTTTCCCCAGCTAAAATAGCACTAAGGAGACACTTGAATCAAGACCATGCAGTCAATGGAAAAGCAACGACTAATGAGATACAGAGGTGAGACCCATCATTTCCTGGGAGGGGGCAGGAGGGGTGATCCTGTTGCTGGTTTTTAACAACAGTGGCTTCTTGGGATCATGGAAAAATATTTTTTGAAGTAGAGTTTTATACACTTGTAAAAATGTTGTGTCAAGAAAATCATAGAATCATAGAATGGTTTGGGTTGGAAGGGACCTTAAAGATCATGAAGCTCCAACTTCCCAGGGACACCTCCCATCAGACCAGGCTGCACAAGCCTCATCCAACCTGCCCTTGAACACCTCCAGGGATGGGGCTTCCACAACCTCCCTGGACAACCTGTTCCAGTCCCTTGCTTCCCTCATGGTGAAGAATTTCTCACCTAAATCTCCTTCTTCCTTCTTTCTCTCCTAAATCTCCTTCTTCCAGTTTAAGACCATTACCCCTTGTCAGCATTGACAGCTGCTGGGGTATATAAGTAGGTCCAGTGCCTTGGGTTTGGTGCAGGAATTCCTTGCAAAAGAAAATCAATTTCCTTTTGTGCTCTAACAACACACATCTCTGTTCCAGAGCTGACCATGTCAAAGAGAATGGCCTTACTTATCCAACCCCTGGTATTTCAAATGGCATAAAGCTGAGTCCTCAGGAAACTCGGCCCTCTTCCCCAGCAGCCTTACCAATGGCAGGAGAGAAGGTGAGAGACCTGCTTGTGCTCCAGGGCAGAGATGCTGGTAGGGCAGAGAAAAAACTGGCCAAACTAGAGGATGCAGGCATGCTCCTTTCTCTGGTCAGTTTGGCATAACACAAAATACAGCAGGTGTGGAACAACAAAATAAGGTGGATGGAGAGAGTACTGTGCTCGTGGGAGATGTGCTTGCCTCTCAGTTGCATGTGAACTGTGCCAGTAATGCAGTGGGACTTCCTTTTCATCTGGTGTGTGTCTACTCAGACTTGAAAAGTAGGTTCTTTCATAGCTAAAAATAACAAAAAATTGTCCCCATAATTGATCCAGCCATGAATCATATTGGTGCTCGTTTCAGAGCAAGCAGGTGCCCTCCAACAGGAGGTTACCATGGAAATATTTCAGGCCACTACATCTTCTGCATGCAGGGGGCCTCAAGATAAGAATTCTGTAGAGTGTTTTTCACAGAGCTCTAACAAAGACACTAGATAATGAGCTTGCCTAAGGCATCCTTTTCCTTATGCTTGGGGCCAGCAGTAGCTTTAATTTATATCTTTCTGTGCTGTTGGATATTGCTGTTCCAATAAATCTGTGCTGGTACCAAAGCTGCTCTGGGCATGCCCTGTCTTTGCTGCATAGTCATCACTCCTAAATATGTAATTCTTTACAGAAAGAAAGGGGGGGGAGGGAAGGTAGGGACACAAAACAGAAATGAGCAGGTTACCATGAGTGAAAAAAAATCTTTTCAGTCACAGCATGCAGTGCAGTTAAGAACACGGTTTTCTTTTTTGTCTTCACAGGTTTTGAGAGAGAGAACCTCTGTGAGTAATGGAGAAACTATCACCAGCCTACCTATCAGTATTCCTCTCAGCACAGTGCAGCCCAATAAACTCCCTGTTAGTATCCCTCTGGCCAGCGTAGTCCTACCTAGCCGTGTTGAGAAGGTGGTGAGTAAGGGATTGTCAACACTTTCCATCCCTAACCAAAATCACCCTGGGCAGTAATGGGGTGCTGTGCACCCAAAATCCTTAGTGGGCTGCTAATCTCCAGTGTCTGATGCTTTGGGGGAAGCTGCTGTTGGGATGCATCCTCTTGGCTCTTCATTGTTCTGTAGATGTTTCCTCCTGGGGCTGTGGGGTGGTGATGTTTCAGTCAGGAAGGAAAGGAAAGCACAAGCCTCAAGGGAGCCTGGGCTTAAACATCTGGCTGGGTGGAAGAGCTGCAGACTCCAAATGTTTGTGGCAGTGAAAGCAGAGAATCACACGTGTCAGTTTGTTCTTAGCCCCTGTCATCTTACATGACCTTGGGGGATAAATTGTTTTGCCTCACTGAGGTCAGCTCAAAATTGTCCCTCTTTATCACAAAGATGTGAAGGGTGAACTCAAATAGCACCTTTGAGGCTGAAATCTAAGGTGTGAGTGATTGCTCTGGAGCAGCAGAGCAACTAGAGAACTTTTGGGGCCATCTCCTTTTTGAAACCCTGAGAAGTCCATGCTTGTGCTGTGCCTGATTTGCTACCCACGCTGCTCTCAGTGGCAGAGGAGTTTAAAAAAGCCTGGTCCAGATTCTTCCAAATGTTTGTCACAAAAATGCTGCAGTAGAGAACTGCAGAACTTCTGCTCTCACATGAGAGCTGTGAATTTAGAATCCCCCTCAGATGCCTGCCTGACAGTCCCATGTTTGGAAAGCTGGAGATGTTTCAGAGTTTTGCATCCATTATCTGTTCCCAGCTGTAGACATTTGGTTGTAGCAGAACTACAGTCTGCCCAGCTCCAAGCACTTGTGTGCCCTCAGAGAGGATGCTCAGGATGGTCTCTCACTTCACCACAGGGTTTATTCAGGCCCCTACAGCTGTTTTGCCTGTTTGGGCAAACACCACTTGGTGGCTGTACCCTCAGTGTAGCAGAGCACACAGCCTGGTGCTTTTCACCTTCACTTTGGGGAGCTTTGTGTGCACAGGCTGGAGGACACCACAGAACCATTTGTGTCCTGTGTGGCTGCCAGTGGAACAGTGGACCAAGGTGTTCACTCCCTGCCTGTAGCTCTGTCCTGAATCTCAGCTCCCTGGGACAATGAGCCTTTCTCCCCTCTCTGTGTGATACCTGCCAGCTCCTATTGCAGTGTAATTAATTACTCTATTTATTTTTGTCCCATAATGTGCTGATCTATGTTTTTTTCTCAAACCAAGCAGCAAAATCTAGGTTATGTAGGAAGCAGAGCCACTTTCCTAGGTAGATCATCTAATGCATGTGAATTTTATTTCAACTTCTGAGTGTGTTTCCTATACTAACCTGCCTGTTTCTCTCCCCCAGAGAAGCACACCCAGCCCAGTTCATCAGAGTAGAGACTCCTCGACACTTGAAAAGCAGATTGGTGCTAGTTCTCATAATGGTGTAAGCAATGCTGCTGGAAACAAGCCACTGGCTTTGGCTACCTCAGGTAACACCTCCCCTCCGTGACTGTGCCCTGCCCTGTCGTGACAGCACCTGTGGGTGTGTTGCTGTGTCCTGACAGCACCTGTGGGTACTCTGCTGTGTCGTGACAGCACCTGTGGGTGCCCTGCCATGTCGTGACAGCACCTATGGGTGCCCTGCTCTGTTATGACAGCACCTGTGGGTGCCCAGCTGTGCCATGACAGCACCTGTAGGTGCTCTGCTGTGCCATGACAGCACCTGTAGGTGCTCTGCTGTGTTGTGACAGCACCTCTGGGTGCTCTGCTGTGTCGTGACAGCAGCTGTGGGTGCCCTGCTGTGTCGTGACAACATCCCCCAGGAGATGTCACCCCCCTGTCTTGTCACACCCTCCCCCCTGTGCTGTCACCCCCCAGCTCACTCCTCAGGGTTTTCCAGGCACTTCTTGCCAGGTCATTCAGGCAACAGACTAAGTGTGTGGTAACTCCTGGAGGAGGGTGATGAGGGTGTTTTGAGGCAGGATGTCCCCGCAGCTGGGGGGTGTCCTGGTGTAAAAGCCTTTACAGCTGAAAAGCTTTGATGTGCTTTACCTGAACCTTGCAGTGTTGAGTCAAGAGCTGCTTGTGCAGATTCCTCTGTAGGGATCAAGAGGTTCCTGCCTTCACAATGGGACAAACCCAAGGTCTTGCCTGGCTGTGCTAGGAGCTGGTGATCAGGTCCTTGATGCAGGTCACAGTGCTGCCTCATGAGGCACCAGGAACTGGGGAGGGAGAAATGTCAGATGGGAGAGGGCAGGGCTGCCTTGAAGTGCAGACATTGCTTCTGAACTTGCTCTTCTGTGAAAACTGTGGCCTTGAGCTATTCAGGATATGGGAATGTTGTGGATCAGGACAGTAGGTTCTCACATACAGAAGTTATCCTACAGCTGGTCCCTCATCAGAGGGTCATTGTTCTTCATGTTTGCCACCTTGAGGGGCTTGTGTTGTCTTGCATCTGTTTTGCAAAGAAGGGCTCGGCTGCAATTTTCTAGAAATCATAAAAAACCCTTGGTGTAAACCAAGACCATGTTCCCTTCTACCCCTTCCATTTAGGCAGCCCAGAGACAGGGCCTTGCCCAGAGCACTAAACCCACTGATGATACACCAAGACAAATGCTTAATTCCCTTTGCCAGCTTCCTCCCACGTGGCATTCTTCTGCCACAGTTTCTTTGAAGAACTCTCACTCCCTAAGCCACAGCTTTTTGTTCATTGTGAGAAGGAGGTGGGCTGTAGAGATGACAGAGTCCCTTCTTTTTTGGGAAGGAAAGGGACTGAATTTGGCCATGAAGATAGGAAGGAGTTGAGAGTAGAGGAGCCCTGATTTCAGAAAGCGGAACAGCTCAAGAGAAACTTACACCTGAATTTCCATTAAAAAAGCCTAGTGGAGTGTAGGATATATCCATATAACACATGGATTTTCCCAAATTGGCCAAAGAGTAGTGAAGATCCTTAACCCCTTAAGCCATCAGCACCCAGAGCCACCTTCTCAACTGCCCTGTGTCCAGAGCAGCTGGGCAGTCGCTGGCTGATCTAACCCAGGTAGAGCTGACACCATCCCAGCCACCCCAGCAATCTAGCACTGTGAACTCTCACTTGGCAGGAGCAATGATGTATACTTTCCCTTTCAACAGGTTTTTCTTACTCTTCTGGCTCCGTGGCAGTCAATGGAAATCTTACAAACAGCCCAGCCCATCTTAATCATAGTGTTGATCAGGCAGCTCTGGACGACTCTGGGAGTCTGTTTAACTCAGTAGGGTCTCGGAGTTCCACTCCACAACATCCTTTGCTAATGATGCAGTCAAGGAACTCTGGGCAAAACTCCCCTGCACACCAGCACTCAACAAGCCCCAGGTTAAATGGCACCTCCCAGAGCCTGGTAGGGGTTTTACAATATGCAGATGCTCAGAAGATGTTTGCCGAAGGAACAAAGGGGGATCTTCAGTCTGATGCAGCGTTTTCAGATCCTGAGAACGAGACCAAGAGAAGAATCATCTTTACAATCTCTCCTAATACAGGACATGTAAAACAATCCCCTTCCAACAAGCACAGTCCCCTGGCCACGAGCACTCGGCTGGACTGTGGCCAAGCACACGTGCAGGACGGGAAGAAGCGCGGCCGGAGGAAGAGATCGTCCACCGGGACCCTCGGCGGGACCTCCGGGGTCTCCCCCAAACGCAAATCCTTGCCTGCTGTGTCTGGGCTCTTTACACAACCATCAGGTTCACCACTCAACATCAATTCCATGGTAAGGGCAAAAAGGAAGAGATCTAGTCAATGAGGAGTTGTTCTTTTTGTGTTAGAAAGAAGCTTCAAGTGTTGCGGATTTAACATCTCCCGGTGCCGGGACTAGAGTGGGGTGAAGGTTGTTAGGGTTTGGCTCCCAAGTTGGCAGTCAAACCAGTAACAATAATGCTTTCAATCCTCCCCCAAAATATAGAAACAGAGAGGAAAAAAATGAGAGAGGCTTTCTGGGTTGAAAAGTGACACAAATTGATTGTAATCATTAATGAAAAGGGAATATATATACATTTATAAAGGGACGTGCAACATCCGATCCCCTCCTCCCTCCCCCAGGGACTCCCACAGGCTCCCAGCTGAAGGGAGGAGTGTCTGGGTGCATGGATGGGTCCTTGGATGTGGCTGTGAAGAAAAATGGGGGAAAAAAAAAAAGCCAAAGAGAGGGTGATAGAAGCAACAGTAAGCAGAAAAAGAGAGAAAAAGGAAGGCAAAGGCTTGACTTCTCTGATGCCTTAACCTCCACCAAAAGCCACACAGAGAAAATATTAAGAGAAAGGAATATTCTGATTTGCTGACCTGCCTTCAGTCTAGTCTGCTCCCCCCTGGGGGGGGGAGGGTTAAACTGCAGACATGAGCTTCAGAAGTGTCCTTGGTTGTTATCACTCCACTGCATAACAGTCCACTGGAGCTGCTTAAAAAAGTTCACTGAAAGTTAAAAAAAAACAGCAAAGAGAAAATTTGCTCCATCCTGGCTCAAACCAGGACAAGGTGCTTTGTGGAAATGGCCCTTCTGAGAGGCCAGAGTGTTACCAAGAAGTTGAACTGTTCCTGTGGAGGTAGAACATTTTTGGAGGGTCTTTGCTGTAAGTTGTAATTTGAAAAGGATCTATTCCCTTACGACAAAGAGCTTGTTTCTGCAGTGAGTTTTAAGCTGTAGGTTAAATATTTTGCAAATAGTTTAAACTCAGATTGACTAAATAGTGTTAGAGTGCCAGAAGCATATGGTGCTTGTGCATAATTAAGCCAGCTATACAAGTTGTGTTCATGTGATCCTACAGTGGTAGTTTGTGATTATCCTGTGACTTCATTTCTGTGTTTAAACATGAAATTGAAGAATGAAAATGAGATCTTTTCCAAATGATGTTAAAGCTTTCATCCCAGGCTCTGATGCAGGGTGGTGGAGTGTAACAATGGCAGTGCTAAGCTGTTGGCATCTCCTAAAGCTGAGCAAGATAAGCCTGCTTATAATATCCTTTAAAAGATGCTGTGTTTCTAAAGGGATGCTCTCATCTGTAACTGCTTTCTTTCCTTCTTGCCCAGGTCAATAACATTAACCAGCCTTTAGAAATAACAGCCATTTCCTCTCCTGAAAACTCCCTGAAGAACTCTCCTGTTCCTTACCAGGACAATGACCAGCCCCCAGTGCTGAAAAAGGAAAAGCCCCTCATTCAGACCAACGGTGTCCATTACTCTCCTCTGACATCAGATGAAGAGCAAGGATCTGAAGATGAGCACAATAGCAGCAGGTGAATGCACAGCCAGGGGTTTCAGGAGATTTCTCTGAGGGCTGATAATGCTCCTCTAAAGCAGAGGGGTGTGTTAAGGCTTCTTTGTTCCCTCTGCTTGGAGATTGATTCCCTTATGCCAAGCCCCTCACACAGCTGAAATTCTGAACAGGGAAGGTATTAGGGAAAGTTGTGCTTGAACGTGGGAACCTCCTGTTGCTGTGTTGGCAAGGCTGGCAGAGTCTGGCCTCTGAAAGAATGAATGTAGAGGTGATTGTTTTACTACATTGCTTTGTAGGAGCACTGAGGCTGTGTGTGTCATCTTTAATTGAACTAAGAATCTCTCTCCCACTTGATCCCAGTTTCCCCTTGATTCAAAATTCTTCACTTCCTGCCCCAAACTGATGTGTTGCTCTGAAAATTAAGTCTCTGCCACCTTTTGCCTGTGGAAAGCAATTTTTTTTCTTGTTTAAGGTGTTCCAAAAGTAACACAATAGAAATGAGAGCAGCATCCTATCCTGCTGCTGCTTGTGAAAGAAAAGCAACAGTGGAATCATCTGAACATGCACTGATCTTGACAAAGAACAACACTTCTGTAATAGCTTCTACTTAAAAACTTGTGGTGGATTTTATTATACTTTTAAGTTCTTTTAATAACCCAGTTTAGTTGTCTTTCTATGCTCTAGTCCACTGCTAAGATGTGGACACGAGGAAGATAGTTATGAGGGTAAATGTGCAACAAAAGGTCTGCAATGAGTGCTCTAACCTTTTTATTTTCCCACTAGAATTGAGAGGAAAATTGCAACAATATCATTGGAAAGCAAATCTCCACAGAAGGCTGTTGAAAATGGTAGGTGTAAGGAATGTTGGTTGGTTGTTAGAAGGGTTGGATCTAGGAATGGGTGACTGTTAAACAGCAGCAGCTTTTCTGTGCTGCTGAATCACAGGATCACAGGATTTCAGGGGTTGGAAGGGACCTCTGAAGATCATCCAGTCCAACCCCCCTGCCAGAGCAGGACCAAAACCAGGGCAGGTCACTCAGAAAGGCATCCAGACAGGTCTGGAAAGTCTCCAGAGAAGGAGACACCACAGCCTCTCTGGGCAGCCTGTCCCAGGGCTCTGTCACCCTCACACCAAAGAAGCTCTTCCTCATGTTGAGCTGGAACTTCCTGGGCTCCAGTTTGAATCCATTGCCCCTCGTCCTGTCCCAGGGCACAAGTGCTAGTGCAGTTCTGCCAGGGCTTTGAAAAATCATAAATAAGACAAGTGGCTGATGAATTAGAAATTTTGGGTCAGTTCTGTAGTCACAGGTCACCAAAGGCCTGACTAGCTTGTTTGGGTTTTTTTCAGACTCAGGGTTTGGGATTGGATCCATATAGTAAAAAGGGTGAGGAAAAAGTAGATCAGCATTCTCAAACTTTTTCAGAGCCTTAAACTAAATTTTCAGGAGTTTTAGGTGACTTCACAAATATTTCTGCCTTAGGATCAGAAATAGAATTATAGGGTGATAACAGGGGAGTGCTGGAAGATCAAACCCTGTTCTTAATGAGCAGAGTTGGTGAATGCTGATTTTTATAGAATCATGGGATGGTGAAGGTTGGAAGGGACCTTCAGGATCATCTAGATCCAACCCCCTGCATGGGCAGGGACACCTCCCACCAGCCCAGGCTGCTCCAAGCCCCATCCAACCTGCCCTTCAGCACTGCCAGGGATGGGGCAGCCACAGCTTCCCTGGGCAACCTGGGCCAGGCTCTCACCACCCTCACACTCCACAATTCCCTCCTCATTTCTCCCCTCAATCTCCCCTCTGAGTTTAAAACCATCCCCCCTTGTGCTATCACTGCCCTCTCTGGTGAGAAGTTTCTCCCCATTACCATTTATTGCCATTGAATTTTGACACTTGCACATTTTCTTCCCAACCAGGTGGTGGTTTAGCTGGGAGGAAACAAGCACAAAGCAACGAGAACATCAACAGCAGTAAATGGAAATCTACTTTTTCACCAATATCTGACATCAACCTGACCAAAACTACAGACAGTCCTTTGCAGTCAGTTTCATCTCTGAGCCAGAATTCCCTGTTTGCCTTCAGGCCCTCCTCAGAGGACAGCCTTGCCATGGAGGCCAAGCTCACAGCACACACGAGGAAGAGCATTGCCCTGCCCTCCTCGGGGGCAGAGGGGCTGAGCCCCAGTACAAATCCCACTAATGGTTTCACCTACAACGGGGGACTCTCAACTGACCTGGGTTTACACAGCTTCATGGATGGTGCTTCTCTTCCCCATAAGGCCTCGGACGTGACGACTTCCAACTGCTCCCTGGGTTTCCAGTCACAGCGAAGCAAAGATGTGGGGATGGTGGAAACCAACCCCTTCTTGAACAAGAGGCCACTGGAAGGTCTTGGCACGAAAGGAGAAGATTTGAATCGCTCGGGGGTCAAAGGCAAAGAGATGAATGAAATGAGCATCCGTGCTGGGGGATCTTCAGATAAAAACTCTTTGCAGCACAACGGAAAGGTTGGCAAAGGAAGGGACCGAGATGTGGAGTTTAAAAATGGCCACAACCTTTTCATTTCTGCTGCTGTTTCGTCTGGTGGCCTTCTGAATGGTAAAAGCCTTTCTGCTGCTGATTCTTCAGCAGGCAACCCAGCATCTTCTGTTCAGACACGCCATCCTTTCCTAAACACTTTGACCACTGGATCGCAGTTCCCGCTCGGCCCCATGGCCTTGCAAGCAAACCTCAACTCGGTGACAAATTCCTCAGTATTGCAGTCCTTATTTAATTCAATGCCAGCTGCTGCCAGTCTGGTCCACGTGTCATCAGCTGCAACCAGACTGACTAATTCTCACACTATGGGGAACTTCTCTCCTGGGGTTACAGGTGGAACAGTTGGAGGTAGGCAGAACTCTTTCTCTGGTCTAAGACAGGGCATAAAGGAAAGTCTGACACTGCCTCTCCAGGGGTAAAACCCTTTCACTTTCTGCAGGATGTGAAGCAGATCTGGCCCACATAACCAGTCTCCTCTCTCTTGGAAATGCTAGGATGGGTTCAGTACCCCACAGTGAAATCTCATGAGTTTGTTGTATCACCTTAATGAAAGAATCCACCCAGACTTTGTGATTTCATAATGTGCGCTTGTCCAGGTGTTGCTGTGTTGGAACCACCTTAGGTCTGTCTGCAGGTAAAAGGTTTATCTTGTCATGGTACCAAGTGAAGGATTTCTAACTTGTCAATTTGAGTAAAGGTTGAGATTAGGCCTTGAAATGGATTTAGCATGATCCAGGAAGAGCAACATATCAGTGCCTCCTCAGAGGAGCTGGTGTTGGGAATTGTGTAGCGTTCGGCTCTTGGATGGACACGAAGAGCATTTCTTTGCCAGGAAGGGCAATGCCATATGCACCCTGCACTTCTGGGGTTCTGCACAGGCTTGGCTTCTGGGGCCCAAACTGGAGACAAGCTGGCAGGACTAGAAGATAAGTCTAAACCTGTCATTACTAAGTGTCCAAGGCAGTTTTTCTTACCTGTCCATAATCATTCAGGCACCATGTCGGGAAATCCTAACTCTCACATCTCTCAGCACGTAGATTGGCTGGAAATGGTCTCCCCTCTGCTGCCCTGCAAGGGGGAAGGCAGGAGGGTGGGGAGGGAAGAGCAGCAGTTTGAGTCTTCAGATAAAACAACTCTAGTGACCACGTAATCTCCTCAAAAGCCCACCCGTGTGGTGTAGAACTGACAGGTCTTGGGTCTGACCATTTTTCCTCGTGGCATTTAGAGGTTGGCAGTAGGAAAGGTAAGTGAGATCTTTTGTACCTCCTGGCCTGCACCATTATCTCTCATTGCTTGCTGCCTTCTCATGCTGCATATTTTTGTATGGGGCTGTAACTATTATAATTTTGCTTATTTTTTTTTTTTTCCTTTTGGTTTTGTTTCTCTTGTCACTTGAGACTGTACAAAGCCCATCTGTTGAAGCTGAGTTTTTCTCTCCTGTTTGCAGGTATTTTTAACCATGCGGTGCCTTCTGCCTCCTCTCCTCATCAATTTGGAGCCAGTTTCAGCAGCAGTGCTGTCTCTAGCAGCACAGTGCTAAGCTTAAACCCTCTGCAGGCTGTTGCCAGCACCTCATCCTCATCCTTCCCACCCCCTTCCTCTAATTTAGTAACCTCTAGTGAGACTAGATCTGCTCAGCACCTCAACAGAGCGCCAGTGCAATCTGTTTTCCATCCCCCTCCTCCCCCTCCTAACGTTTCCTTGCCCCCACCCCCTCCATTGCTCACTTCTAACCCTGATCCCCCTCTCCTGCAGACCCTACCAACCATCCCACCCACCGAGGCTTTTTTGCCACCTTCTTCTGCTGCTTCTTCTGCCCAACCCGCTAACGCTTCTGTGTCTATCAAGCTTGCCTCCCTCCAGCACAAAACTTCCCGCCCCTCCTTTACTGTCCATCACCCTCCCTTGCCCCGCCTGGCACTGGCACAGGCAGGGCCCATCATCACCCAGCCCAACGTTGCTGGCACCTCCTCCATGTGGGTGACCCTTGGCATGCAGCCTCCTTACGCTTCGCACCTTTCGGGGGTTAAGCCACGATAAAGAGCTTGGTTAGCTAACAGTTCTTAATATGTAAGGTAAGGCTAGAGGACAAGCAAGAGGAGTTGGGTACCAGGTGATGAATGATGCTGCTTCCTTTTGCAGAGAGGTTGGGGATGGGCTCTGGGGACCAGAGGTGGCCTGTAAAACGGGGGGG